ATAGCATGATTAGAAGAAAAGTGAACAGAAATATTTTCATGCAATGCTAGGCTAGATATGGAAATAAGATTGAAATTAAATTTAGGAACATAAAGAACATTATGCAAGGTAAGATTACTGTTAAGTTTAATATTACCAATATGAGTAGCAGTAATAAAAGTTCCAGTAGGAAGTTGAACTTTAATAGAAACAATTTTAGGTGTGGAAGTATATAAAGTATAATCATGAATCATGTGATCAGAAGCACCAGTATCAAGAATCCAAATAGTAGATGGGATATTAGAAATAAATGCAGTATGTTTACCTATAGATTTGAAGTCATTGGGAGAGGACTGATCATTGTTGGGAACAGTCATAGCAACATTAGCAGAAACTTTATCATTTTGGCTCTTCATGAACTCAAGGAATTTGTTGTAAAGCGATGGATCACATAGGTCAATGTCTTTAGAAGGAGAATCAGGAGAAGTGTTAGCAAGATGAGCATGAGGAGTCTTATTAATGTTCTGAGGTAATTTGAAGCCATGGGCAACTCTGTGTCCTTTAGGACCTTTCCAAGTAGGAGGATATCCAATGATTTGGAAACACTTATCAGCTGAATGACCTTGAAATCCACAGTGAGTACAAGTAACAGAAGATTTCTTTTTATAAGTTGGATTTTTAGCAAGAAAGGCAGTGGAGTCATTGACAGAGGGAGTATAAGTTTGTGAAGGATATGAAACAAGATATTGAAGGTTTCTTTGGGCTTCTTCTTGAAGGAAGAAAGAATACGTTGTAGAGAGACTAGGAAAGGGAGTCTGAAGAAGTATTTGACTTCTCATATTAGAGTAAGACTCATTTAGACCAACAAGAAATTTTTGTACAGATTCCTTTTGAAGTAGTGCTTGATACTTTTCATTGATTTTGCAAGTGCAATTACCACAAGTACAAGGAGGGAGAGTTTTGAAATCAACATATTCATCCCAAAGACCTTTGAATATATTGTAATATGCAGTAACAATTTGAGTACCTTGAGAAATATTGCCTAAAGATTTTTCAAGGAAAAAAATCCTAGGACCATCACTTTTACCGTATCTAAGTTGTATTTCATCCCATAGTTCTTTTGCAGATGTAAAATACAGAAAATTAGAACGGATTTCAGGTGAAATGGAGTAAATCAACCAAGACAAAAGTAAGGCATTGATACGATACCAGACAGAATAAGCATGAGAATCAGTTGACTGTGGTTGCGGAATAGAACCGTCCAGGAAAGCCATCTTGTTTTTCACGCTGAAAGCCATGGTCATCGATTTCTTCCAAGCATTGAAGTTGTCACCGGTGAGTGTTTCTGAGATGATGCGTAGACCGGCGTGATCACTTGGATGCAGATAGTACGGAGAAGAAGAATCCTCAAGAGGATTTGGTAGTTTTTATTATTTGTAAAAATAAAAGGTACATACATAACAATTATATGAGTTGTGATTCTTGTGAACACTACCCATTGGAGCAGTTTTTTGGGTTTCACTGTCTATTTAAATCACTCTTACATGACATGGAATAATAACATTCCATTTATTGATTGCTATGTGTCAAAGTTTATTCAATGTTAACAACGTAGCATTAAAGATGTTCTAAGGCAGAGTCGGCCTTGGTCATTTGCGACAACGTAATTGCATTTGGGTAGGGCCATTTAAATTTGATAATTCCTCATATTTTAAAATATATATATGTACTTTTTTTGGAAGCAGGTGGCTTATATTGATAAGAGAGAGCATAAGCAGGATACAAACTGACAAAGAACCCAATGTCTACCGTCTGCCCTTGAACCTGACTTAGAACCTGCCACCTCGTACGAAGCAACCAGATTCGCTGATTCTGAAATGGGCTTACTTGAGCCAATGACTAGTAAACTAAGTTCCCCATCATATGTCCTAAGTTCAAGAGTCTTGGCAAAACAACATGCAACAATACACAAAAACACATGATGTCCATGGTAAAATTCAGCAAAAATAAATAAAAGACTAAAAGAAGTAGAATCTTTAATTCGCCAGGTGCCCCAAATCTTCACGAATTGTGACGGGTCTGGAGACTCCAGCCCGCCCCTCCCTATTTTTTTATCCTTTCAGCATCATGGTGTCCTCTTATGGTTGCTCCCCCTCTGTCTCCGTAGCTTCCCATGCCCGCCTCCTCTTCTGCTCTCCCATCTCACTGTTGTGAGTCATTGCTTCCACGGTCTTTGAGTCGACCCCCTCCCCTGAAACTGGTTTTCCATGCGGTACAATTCATGTTCCTGTTTATCCATAATATTGCTATGCCTCCCCGTTTGGTTCCTTCGTATCCCTTTCTCACCGACAAACCATTTGTTACCTATTGTTGGGCAGAACCTCCCTCCCCCAGCCCTAAGCCATGGGCCAAAGGGTCTTGCTGTCTCTGTATCACCTTTGTCATACAGTGACGGGCATAATTTCTCAGCGTGTCCAATGACGCCGCAGGAAAAGTAGAAACTAGGAAGTTTCTCATATTTGAAATCCACCTAGTATTCTTCCCCTTTACTTTTTCTCATGTAGGCTTCCCAAATTTTCATCAAACTGTTTATCATCCCATGAAATAAATTTCGCCAGATAGTTCCCAATTTTACAAGCATAACCCAGGTTTGAGAATCCATAAGGAATATTGTGGATCTGAACCCAAAAATCAGCCGTATCTAGGGGTATATTCTGAGGCATGTCACCCTGCGTAATAGCTTTCAACACTAGCAGATTTTGATCAAACAACCAGGGTCCATTATCTAACACTCGGTTCATATCAATTTTGTGATAAAAAGTAAAAAGATACCTCTTTTCTCCGATCTCCTGAATCCGAACGCCTTTTCCAGGACGCCAAAGAGATGCCATCAGGTCGCGAAAAAACTGAAATTTCACCACTTTGTCAGTAAGAATCGTGTCGACCACAGGGAAGATCTCTGCCTCCTTGCTCGCTGCCTCGGGGTCGACTTCCTCAGTATCCTCATCATCCAACAACAACTTGTTCTCCGTACTCCCCAGCCCCGATCCACTATATTGATGGCTCAGATTTTCTACACCTTTTTCGCCAGTCACCACTGAGGGTTCACCCTCCTCGCCGTATAGCTCCCGCGCCGCCTAAGTTGTGGCTCTGCCGCCCCCTGTGCGATCGACTGCACTGCCTCCTCCCTTGTTGTTTTGGATGCCATCCGACTGCCTCTTGTCGGTACCGCACGCCTTCGGCGGAAGTTTCCTCAAACCCTACGGAGAGGGAACGGCCGCTTTTAAAAAAAATATGTACTTATATCCACAATAGTAATCATAAATTATTGCAATATATGGAGTTTTATTTTGTTTGACAATTTCCCGTAATGAGTTTTTATTTTGGTTTAAAGGTACATAACCCCTAAGAAAGTATGTTTAGAGTATTGTTTAAGTGTACGAGGCTCTACCTTCTATCAATCTACATGTACGTGTCGAGTTACACACCGTTTTTTTGTCTTTGTACCGATAATTATTTTTCCATTTTTGTAAAGACACTTGTATGTGACCTAAAATAATTATTATCTGTGGAATAAACAATTCACTTTTTCGAGATCACAAAAGATACAAACAAAAAAACTTGGCGTGTACAAGTAGCATTTTTTACTTTTTATCGATTTTCAAATTTAAAGTTTTAATTTTTTGAGTTTTAAATTTAAAAAAAATTGTTGCATTTTATAGCGTTTTTACTTCTTTATCCATGTCACGGTGACACGTTTCCTCCGAAATACCCTGGTTTGAGGATTGAGGATGAGAGAAAGCGGGGGATTTTTGAAACTACCGACTTTAATTTCCTCTCCTTCCTCGTGATTTCTTTCAACCAAACATACACAAATTGTACACTTCCTCCCCTCCCCTTTGAAATTCTCCAACCAAAATGCCTTAAGAGCCCATTTGTTAACACATGTTTTCAATTTATCAACTAACATTTTTACCAAATATGCAACTTTTGATTTCTCACATTGAATTGTATATCAATAATAAAAAAAAGTAAAATTAGAGTTATTTTCCTGACACAAGCTACTATACAAGACTAGTTTAACCATTTTTCATATATTCTCTCTATTTTATTAATAAAGTATATTTTAAATATGACTTTTTCATAATTTAGAAGATTTAGTGAATTCAACTGTTACTGTCTGAATTTCATCAATATTAACAGATTCAACTGATTCAAGTATTTCTAAACGGGTTCTAAAAAATTATCATACAAACAAAAGCAAATTATGTTGGCAAAATTGACACGAATAATCTCAACTTTTATACATTTTACAAAAATAATCCCTATTTTAAAAGTTCACAACAATAATCCCTACTATTTAACAGTTTCACAAAAATAAATCGAGTGCATACGGTGTTAAATTTTCTGTTATTTTTTTATTTTAAATATATTGAATCGAAAATATATATAAACATTGACACTACTATATTTGAATTTAATCTTGTTTCTACTAAAAAAATAATTTAATATTCAATATTTTCATAAAACATAATACTCTTCAAATTCTCTATTCTCTTTCATTCCCTATCCATATTTTATTAAGATTCATTTTTGTTATTCATTATAATAGAGATTCCGAAGTAGTTTTAGTAATAATACATTAAATATTAATATTAATACAATTATGTAGAATATTGAATTAAACTCAAATATATAAGTTTATCGTAGGAAAAGATTAAACTCTAATATAATATTATTAATTTTTATACATATTTTTGGTTTGATTCAAAACTTAAAAAAATAATTGAAAAGTTAACACCGTCAAAATCAGTTTATTTTTGTGAAACAAATAACTTGTAGGGATTATTTTTGTAAAATGTGTAAAAGTACGGAATATTAATGTCAATTTTGCCAATTATACTCCGTATTTGATATTGTTATTGGACCGAAAAAGAGTTAAATTAGTTTTTGAAATAAATAAAATCCACGACAACATTTAACATCATTAAAGTTTTAATGCATTGGACGTGCACAGGTGGGAGATTTTCAAGCATGTCAAAATAGGAAGCGAATGAAGGAGCAGAGATAAAAGCAGTAACTTGCCTGGGCATTTTTTGAAAATTATTCCATTTATTAACAGTTTTACCAAACCGATTTGGCGGCCACCGCTACGGTGGCGGTGTCGACGTCTAATCGCCCGTTTTCTGCATCGGTTTTCCACCTACGCGTGGGGCCCGCACCCAGCTCCGCTCTGCTCTGTTTTCTTCAAATTGATAGATACATCCTTTTTGTTTTCATTCGAGAGTTAGCTCATAGCTCCCTACCACTACTCTCTCTCCAAACGACTCCCAGTTTGAAAATTGAATCTCCCATTTTCAATCTTCCAATCGTACAGCGCCATAAGAAAACCCCGCCTGCTTCATTGTCATCTTCCTCTTCAATTATCCCTGCTTCATTGGCGTTTCTGATTTGTTTTTGTTTTTATTTTTCCTCTCGTTGACTTCAAAAGGAGGGGTGGGTATTGCTTCAAGGGTGCCCATTTTTTAGGGTTTCTTTGCTCTTCTTCTGATGATGAGTTATTGAGTACTTTCTTTCCCACTCACTGCCCACCCACGAGTCGAATATCAGGTATTGCCAATTATCATTGTCTGGGTATATATTTTGTTTCCACTAATGTTTTGCAGCTTTTGTGTTAGCAATGTTTTTGGGTGATTTTATTTACCTATTGAATGCTGGGTTTGAGCTTTTGAATGGTAACAGATTTTTGCAGATCTGTTTTGGTTAATTTCTTGAATCTTTGTTTAGTTTCACTTGCATCAGGTAGCGAAGCACTGTTTGAGGGTTCACTATCCCAAAATTGTACTCCATTTTTTATTTATTTATCTGAGTTGTCTGACTTTCCTGGAAAAAACTGGAAAGTTAATTTCATAGGTTCACTACATTGATTCTCCCCTAAATGACTTGAAAAGAAACGGATTGTGTGTGGATTGGAGAATATGTGCATTACATTGATTCTCACCTACAGTTTGAAAAGAAAAAAATGATTCTCTGTTGATAGGAGAATAGTTTTATGGTCATGCTTCTGTTTCATTTTCACACACTATATATAGTCATGAAAAAATTGTTGAAGGGTTAATTTTTCTTAAAATTTTTAAAATCAATTAATTAAATGGGGCTTCTCTTGCTGCCATTCTGCCACGAGTGTTCTGGAGGCTCACTATTTGAGAGTATGGTGAATGCTTTGAGGGGTTAGTTGATTTTAATTGAAACTTGGGCAACTTCTTCATCCAGGGATTAGTTGATTTTACCTTTGTTAATATGATTTGCCATCATTTTCCAATAAAGTAGGCGTTTTTTTACTTCACTGCAGTCTTTCATACTTCAATTCTAACCTTTTGTCAGACTTTTGTTAGCACAACTGGTAAATTAAATGGATTGCTTAACTTACTTATAAGCAGTGTTTTCTTGTTATTCCATATTTATTTAGTTGGAAGAAGTGCCATAATTCATTTCATGGCATGTTCCATTCTTTCTCTTAAAGAAACTTGTATGAGGATAATTAGGTTTCAAGATGAGTGATCATATTATTGCATTCTACTGATATGTGCAGGAACTATCACTCTCATATTAGTTATGGCAACTGGAACTTTCTACTTTGATGACGTAAGAAGTAAATCTGAGGTTATCGATTCACCCCAAACTAAAGACATGATGGATGTTGGCGAACAAGTCAGTGAGACCACGCAGAATGCTGTAAAGCCTAACACCGCAGTCTCTACTACTAGTGTCCGTGAACTTTTGGATTGCCCAGTATGCCTTAATGCTATGTATCCACCAATTCATCAGGCATGTGTTTGTTTTTGTAATTTCAATCTTAGGTTAATTTCAATCTTTCGAATTCTAAAAATTACATATTTGAAAAATGAAAATAAACTGGCGCTTGAATCTTTTATTACTGTAAATATTTTCATTTTTCTCACCTTAAAGCTAAATTTTTAATACGTAGTAAACAGTACATATATTTAGTTTTTTTATATATGTAAGTAAAAAAAACTACAACATCCAAGCCTTAGTCCCAAAATAGTTTGGGGTCAGCTACTTTTTATATGCAAGAGAAATATTTAAATAAAATGAGTTTGAATAATATCTATCATTGATTTATTAAGATCAAAACTAATTTTTTATTCCTCCCCAAAATTTCTTTCCTTCAAAATGTCCTATATATATTTCTCATTATTTTATTTCCCTAGTAAATTAGTAATTTCCGTTTTCAAGACAGACTCTAACTCTATCATATCCTCTCTTCTTTTGTAGTGCTGCAATGGTCACACGTTATGTTCTGGATGCAAGCCTAGGGTGCACAACCGATGCCCAACTTGCAGGCACGAGCTCGGCAATATAAGATGCCTAGCATTGGAGAAGGTTGCTGCTTCTCTTGAGCTCCCATGTAAATATCAGAACTATGGATGCGTGGGGATCTATCCTTATTACAGCAAGCTGAAGCATGAGTCCCAGTGTGGTTTCAGACCCTACAACTGTCCCTATGCTGGCTCAGAATGTTCAGTTATTGGTGACATTCCCTCCTTGGTGACTCACTTGAAAGACGATCACAAGGTTGATATGCATGTTGGGAGTACTTTCAACCACCGCTATGTCAAATCAAACCCTCATGAGGTTGAGAATGCAACGTGGATGCTCACTGTAAGTGCATTTTTCTTTACAGCCCACCTAGGACCACACATTCTCTCACATACATGTGTGTGTGTGAGAGAGAGAGAGAGAGAGGATGAAATGGTACCTAGACCCGTGCGGGGAATGCCCTTGCACTGTGTTTTGGAAGAAAGAAAGTAATGGAGAAGTAAAAATAAGAAGGTAAAAGATGGTGAAAAAGATACTTTACAATGTTTGCGAGGGAATGAAAAATAAGGATGGAAAGGAAAGTAGGAAACCAAACCTTATTTTCCATCATTTTTTTCCCTTTTTTAACCCGATAGGCAAGCCACCCAAGTCCGTGGGCAAATGCTGGGGATCCCATCTGGCTGTTTTTTGAATGAGAGTATCGGTAAAGATAAACAGGCGATAAAACAAGGTCATCTAGAATCCCATCTGGCTGTTTTTTTAGATTGGATTTCAGAGTAAAGTGAAAAAGTGGAACTTCAAAGCGTCAATTGTCTAATGGATAGGACATAGGTCGTCTTCTCAATGGCTAAACCTTTGAAAAATTACTTTTTTATTCGTCTCTTTAAAAGTTAATGCGGAGTGTATTTCTTGTGTACATATGAAAGTTAAAACTCCAAAGCGACAATTGTTTAATGGATAGGACATAGGTTGTTTTCTCAATGGCTAAACCTTTGAAAAATTACTTTTTTATTCGTCTCTTTAAAAGTTAATACGGAGTGTATTTCTTGTGTACATATGAAAGTTAAAACTGCAATTTTGCAACTTTATTCCCCTACAAAATAAACAATTGAGAAAATAAAATATCAATTTTTTTCTTTTCTTTCCTTTCCTTTCTTTTCCTTTCTTATTACATCTCATTCCAAGCAGAAGAGGTGATGTTAATAAAGGAAAAAATTAAATTATTACTACATATTTCCTTCCCCTTTTCATCTTCTTGATGGAAAACTCCCAAACATAGGCACAACTTTTTTGCCCCATGGTTCAACTTATTCTCTATGTAGTCAGTTTGATAAGTACTTGGTTTTAACCAGATTTGTGTGCTTATTTTTATCTTGTGACTAGGTGTTCAGTTGCTTTGGACAGTACTTCTGCTTGCATTTTGAAGCATTTCAGTTAGGCATGGCACCAGTTTATGTGGCATTCTTGCGGTTTATGGGTGATGACAATGAGGCAAAAAACTACAGCTATAGTCTGGAGGTGGGAGGGAATGGGAGAAAGATGATCTGGCAAGGTGTGCCAAGAAGCATACGGGATAGTCACCGTAAGGTTCGTGACAGTTTTGATGGTCTCATCATTCAACGCAACATGGCACTCTTCTTCTCCGGTGGGGATAGGAAAGAACTGAAGCTAAGAGTCACTGGCAGGATATGGAAAGAGCAGTGATAGTTGGTCCCTAGAATCGATCACAAGACGGACCCATCTTTCAGTCCCATGAAAAGGATTTGTTCATTCACTGCTTAATGTCTTTCTGGTCTTGTGCTTTTTTGATCTACCGAAGCAAACACTCTTTGCTTTAGGACATGTTGATAATGGGGCTCTTTTGTCCATAAGAAATGGAGTTGATTCCTCAGATGTTTATTACTCTTAACTATTTTTAAATTTTCAGTTTTCATTCTAACTAAAATCCACCAAATTATTTTCTCCACAACCAAACTATCATGATACTTGCTTCCCTACCATCTGATCCAGTCACCCTTATGCCCCCTGGCCTGCCTTCATCACCCTGGATAGTCAAAGACCCACCACCGACACAGTAGCCAAGGCGGGCCTGTCCAATGTCATTCTTCCCTAGTACTCCCTCCGTTCCTATTAAAACTTCCAACTTTCTTTTTTCGTCCATTTCAATTAAAATTTCCACTTTCCCTTTTTAGTAAAGATTTTTGTGGTTCACAACATTTCTTACACATTTCTCTCTCATCTGCACAACTGTTCACCACACAATACTCACTATCTTAAATTGTGTGCCAAACCTATTTGGAAGATAAAATAGGAATGGAAGGAGTAAGTTTTTTGGCCCCGGTCCTATAAACCGCCACCATGGTGTTGTGCTATAATAGAGGAAACTTAATTGTTCTCACGGTTATCATCATTCCAAGTTCCGACCACTGCAACACCACTGGTTGCTGCATCATCTTCCGTTCCCTCATCCTTTTCACACATAACTAACTATCTATTATTCTTCTATTTCCAGCCCTTCTAAAGGCATCATACTTACCCAAAAATCTGCTGCCGACCGAAAACCTAATGTCGGTTTTGGAAAGAAACAAACCCCCAAGAGAGGTAAGTATCAACATTTTTAGATAATAGTACAAGTTTATCGAAAAAACCTCTAAAGGTCTATTCAATTAATTCAACTTTAGTTGAATTCATTTCATTTTCATTTTCATTTACCCCAGTGCCGCAAAGGCTCCCACCTACGGTGGGGTAAGGGGGGTCGGATGTACGCAGTCTTACCCCTGTAGTAAAGCACATAGAGACTGTTTCCGGATAACCCATAGTGAAAATCGTGTCCAAAATTGCATAGACTGACTGCTGCTCCATAACAAAGAAGCGCAGGCAGTTTTGTGAGCCATTTTGCTTTATTCCATCATAATCTCAAGCCAAAAAATAATGAATCTTTGGCTCCATTGCAAATGATGGGGATTTAGTTGAATTCATATATATTTTTAATTCCATCCTTTAATTAACTGATAGATAACAGAAGAATTGCAGTAGATAATCTTAGTTTATTAATGAAGGTTTATGGATGGAATGTAGAAAAATAACGTAAAAGAAGGTCGAGACTCTTTGAATGGTCTCACACTCCCAATTTCCCAGTCCCGGTCCCAAATTCTGTATTCTGTTTGCCCCTCTCCTCCCCACTCACACTTATTTATTCTATTTCTAATGGGCCAGACCACTTCTAATAAGTTATAGGGCCTAAACCCTATTATTGAACAAAATTAAAATGACTTTAAAAGGCTCTAATTATTGGTAGTGTTCGGGTCCCTAACATCACTCCCCCCTTGAACTTTCACGGTTCCACCTTGTCCTCAAGGTGGATGATAAGAGACTGATTTGGCATTTGGTTTCAGCAGGTTTGCAGCTTCATCCCGTTCATATAGCCGATCTTCTGTTCCATGCACTTCTTCTGGCTCTTCCATCAAGATAAATTGATAATGTTTCATTCCACAAACATGTTCTTTGCTCCATTTGTTTCCACGTTTGAAACATAAGCCCTTTTTACTTCTTTCTTCTAACTCTAATTGTGTCAACCTTTGGCTTCCCTCCTATGTCTTATTCGGTTTTGGTGATTCCTCCCGTTTGTTCTCTTAATGTGCTCTCTCCGGAGTCACAACAGGTGTTCTTCCCTTTGTTGCTTCCACCCAGTTCAAGGGTCTAACCATTTTCCCTCCTTGTTCCCTCCAGCCTTTTTTGTCTTCTTCTTTATTTTGCTCTCCTTTTGATGTCATGTTTTTCCGTTCAACAAGCAAGGCTTTGTCCATGAGATCAATTAACCCACTGGTCTGGTACAACTTCAGCTCTGTGCTAATTTCTTCTTTGAGGCCATTGAGAAATATTTCTTTTAACATCTCTGGATCAGCAATTCTGAGGGGAGCTATAACCATTTCGAAATGATCCCTGTACTCCATCCCTGAGCATCGGACCAAACGGGTTCTGAACTAAATCCGACTGGAAGCGTCTAATCAAGCTTCCTTAAAATTACCACATGCGTGGTCATCAGTCTGTTCATCCCACCATTGGTACCAGTTCAAAGCCTTTTCGGTCATGGCTATCAGGACAATTTCCACTTTGTCATCCTCAAAAACACGATTTAATTTAAAATAGCGTTCAACCCTGATAAGCCATCTGTGAGCATCGTTACCGCTAAACAACGGTATATCCACCTTTCTTCCGGTATAAACCCGGTCATTAATTCTGCTCAGGAGCATGAGAAACGGATTGAGAATCATGAGGGTTACCTCCTGAATTGGATGAACTCACGCTGGCAGAAGTCTGATGTCGACGATTGGTGGTCGATCGTCCTCTTCTTCTCCTGTGATTGCCCTGGACTTCGAGACTTTGCATCTTCTCCAGCAACAACTGTACTTTTTCGTCCATCAAAGCTCTCATCTCTGTTCGGATCTCTTCCCTGGAAAGCTCCAACGATAGGAGTGGACTCGGGTCAGGCCAACCGGCCCGGAACCGGACCGGCTTGCTACTGTGCGGGCCCGGACCGGCCCGGTGAACCGGTTGGTGCCCGGTTCAGGCCACCCGGCCCGGTGAGGTAGGCGGGCTGGGGTCGGGCCTCCCCTTTCATGACCGGGACCGGCACTGTTCCGGTCCGACCCAAACCGATGGCCCGGTCAGTCACCGGTCCGGGTAGGCCCGACCCGAGGGGTTTCCGGTCCGGGCTCGGGTCACCCAAAACAAGCCTGAGCCCGGTTCGGGCCAAATTGATTTTTTTTGTTTTTTTCATTTGTTTGGGCTCGGTTTGGGTTGGGCTTGATGTTTAGAAGGGGTTTGGGGGTTTGGGGGGTGGGGGTGAGGGGGGGGGGGGTCAGGGAAAGGTAGGTAAGAAAAAAAAAGTTAACCAAGCCCGAGGCCCGGCCCAGACCCGGTGGCTACCCGGGCCGGTCGCGGGTCCACCTATTCAGACCTGCCGGCCCGCCCGGGCCTAGGCCCACCCCGGACCCAACCCGGCCCGAATCCACCCCTCCTCACACTTACTTATTCTATTTCTAATGGGCCAGCCCACTTTTAATAAGTTATAGTGCCTAAACCCTATTAATGAACAAAATAAAAATGACTTAAAAAGGCTCTAATTATTGGTAGTGTTCGGGTCTCTAACATTAACCCAAATTGTTAAAGATCGCTAAAAGTTGTTGGTGAATACACAACCTAGAAGACGAGAGCTTTTTCAATTTCTTGACCTAAAACCCATCGTACAGGCTACTTCTACTTCTACCAAGGCTTTGTCTCAAACAGTTTACTTAAGTGAAGGAAGATGGTGACAATGTGACATTACCCATTTTCAGTGAACTTACATGGTGTCTATGACCTCTGGCAACGAATGACCTACAAAAAACTAAAGATGAAACATGGAAATCACAAACGCTCAACTTGGACAATAAATACATAAATGGTTGAGCATCAAAATCCTTGATGAAAATGTGCAACTGTTCAAAGGGAGCACAAACTGTTATATGACCAATGAGATTATTGATGGACTCGGGCCGGGTCGGGCCCGGTCGGGCCGCCGGGTAGTATGACATGGGCCCGGGACCGGCCCGAGGGTTGGACGGGTCCGGTTCGGGCCGGGCCGGTTAAATTTTTTTTTTATATAATTTATATTTTATAGTTTATAGTTTTATACGAGTATTAAAAACAAACTTCAATTGCATTTATTTGAAATGAAATATGAACTACATTTGAAAATTAAAACAAACTTTAACAGATAAACATTTTGAAAATTGTAATCAATCGGAACTTCCCGCACCTCCCGATCCTTTGGCTTTGTCACATGACTTCATATGCTTGATTGCCATTCCGAATCCGCCAGAAACCCCCATGCTACATTTTTTCTCGCACCATTTGCAAATTGCGTACCACATCCCGGTCTTCGGGTCCTTCTGCTTATCAAAATTATACCGTATAATGGCATCTTGATTTTCCATCTTAACTTCTTAAGTATTAACTATAAAGTAGATATATAAATAATAAATATAATATATTGGAGAATAAGAGAATTAGAGAGTAGAGAGTTAAGAATAGGATTTAGGAAGAATTGGAGAAGAGATATGAAAAAATGTTTAAGATTAGGAGTATTTATAGGTTTTTTTTACCCCCCACCCCCCCCACCACCACCCCCACCACCAGCCAACCCCCCCAGACCCCCCCTTTACCCCACCCAACGGCTATATAGCCGTTTGGGTTGTCCCCAGCCCCACCCCCAACGGCTAGTAGCCCAAACCAAAAAAAAAAAAAAATTTTAAATTAGACCGGACCCAGGCCCGGGCCCGACCCGGCCGGGTCACAATAATCCAGCACCGAGCCCACCCCGCCCCTTCCCACCGGTTCAGGTCCATACCCGGTCCCGGACCGCCCGACCGAGCCGGTCCCGGGCCCGCACAGTACCGGGCCGGGCCGGGTCACGGGCCGGGTGGCCCGAACCGAATCCATCCCTAAATGAGATTATGAGACTATGAAAGTGGTCAAGTGAATTACATCCCACGTTTAAGATTCATTCTATCTGAGGTCTTGAGTTCAAATCACATTTAGTGTGCCCTTTTGAACATGATCTCATATCGTCATTTTGTTACTTTTGCAATTGGGAACAAAAACTTGTTACAAAAGCAACGATTGTATAGTGTATACAATTCAAGTAAAACTTCCTCGCAAATCAAGAGATTTTGCTAACTTCAGTAATTGCAATTGACTAGGCATTTTGCAAATTACTGAACAAGCTCTAAGTTTACATTTGAAAATATGAACTAACAAGATGCATCTGGATTTTATAGATTATTCATCATCCGAGGCAGAGAAAATTATCTACCCGCCATTCTATATTTATTAATTCAAAAAGTTGAGCCAGGTGTCTAAATGGTGTCATAGGCAATAAATTAGAAGGGAAAAACATGGTTGATGGATGAGTTCGTAACATAACAAATAGCATCCTTTCTTAACTACAGTCAGTCAAATATGCATTCCAGCCTTGAAGCCTGTATTCCCTAGCTGCCTCTACAGGGTTTGCAGCCTTTATAATTCCACGCCCAACTATAATTATGTCACTACCTCGTTCACTAATCACCTGAGAAAGAGAAGCAACATTAGCTCTCCACCTGGTAAGGGCGAATTTGGTGAATCATTCTTTTGGCATTGGTTAAATCGCTAAATTATGGAGAACATAATTAACAACTTCATCAGTTTCTGCCAAACGAAATTAAAGATTTGGAAACAAAAAAAAATCTGGTAAGCAAAAACTATGGCTAATTGCTACCCAGCAACAACTATGTTATACGCTGTGTTTTGACAAAGGCACATAAACTTACAGAATGTGGGGTGTTGTATTGCTGGCCAAGAGAGTCGCCGCCTTTCACAAGCTGCACGCCGGGAGTTGCATGTATCAAACCTGGACTACCAGGCCCAGTGGGCCATGATGCAGGGTTGACAGAGATGAAGCCCATCACAAAATCTGAATGATCCTCAGCGATTTTCACAGCTGCAGCTGTATAGTCTCCCTTTGCAAGGTTACCAGATGAACTCATTTCAGCAAGCAGCAGCAGTCCTCTACCACGTGGCAAACCCTAAAATCAGACATGAGTTCTAGTAAGGGATAAATGAATCAAAATTTTAAATGAAGCAAAATAAAATAAGGAGAGAGAAAGTAACCTTCAGTTTCAACCCATCAACTATTCCAGGACCTGATATAATATGGGCATTCACTATGTCTGCCCAATCCAATATACGAAAAATACCACTGCGAAGAACATTATGAAAAGTATTCAGACATAAACTTATGGAGAAACTAAAGAAGTTCAAAGGAATTTGCCATCTCACCCTTCATATTGCATTGTGACAGTGTTGCCAATGTCAGCAAACTTACGGTCCTCAAAGATTAAGAAGCCATGCTTGTCAGCAATCTACAAAAGTAAACTAATCAAGATCATGTTCAGAAAATGAATTTCTGCATAGCACACAATATTAAAACACAGTCCAAATTTATGGCCTTACAACCAGGCAATACAGCTCAATAGGCTCATATCAGATTTATGAAGGGATTCCTGTCATCTAGATGTATGTTTGGAACCTGGAAATCCTAAGGGAAGGAAAAAATGCAAAGTAAAATTACTTTCTTGTTTTTTAATTTTACCACGTATGGAATGCGATTAATGTTTTTAAAAAGCTTAGATATGTTAAGATTTCTTAATCTTTATATAATGATCCTATAGTAGAAAATGGATGAATGGAATGAATTTGAATAATATTCAGTTTGAACAAATATTCCAAAACTTTTCCTTGCAAATTCCCCTCCTCATATTTTCTCCATAGCATTTTACCAGATCCAAACGGACTGACCCCAAGAATCTTAAGCTAGAGAAAATGTAAACAATTGCTTTCTGAACTTTGTATGAAGTCCAATTCAAAATTATAAAACCATAGACATGTCAAGGATAATATCTTTAATTTAATACAATCTGCACAACTGCAATAATGAAGTAACTGGCTTATCATACCACAAGAAACTTTGCAATCTGCAAGACTACACTATTTTTGTATTCCATTATGTATGCAAACTTACACATCGAAGTTTAGAGCCAAAATCTGGGGTGAAATCAGGCAATATGTCAACGTGGGTTTTCAACATGCAAATTTCTGGGCCAACCTGAAATAAGAAAAATGGATGTCATTCAAAATACATCCCATTGAAAGGAGTTAAAATAAATAATATGGCCTGATGAACACGAACCAATTTCATGAAAATTTTCACCAAATACATTTAGTAATGTCAGGCACTGATTTCCAAAACTACATCATACATCACATATGTGCTTGTTTATTTCAAAATGACTGATGGACCGCTCTCAACTAATTCCCTGTTATAACTCACAAAGTTCTTCAGAATTTTGTTAAGATGGATATCAGATTCGAATTATTGCATAAGCCATTCGAATCTGTACTTTTTATTTCAAATTGATACATAAACCCATAAATCTTACAGAGGGTGCTAGTTTTTTTAAAGTCCATATTGTCAATGGGAGCATCTTGCTACTCGATCATTTCAAGTTTCAACTACATAATTGATTAAAAAATGACGGCATGCTAGAGGCCGTAGAGGGTCTTTCAATTAGTTCCATTGACTATCTCACCTTTTCAGCAAAATCAAGCAATTCAGCCGCAGTTGCAACATCAGCGGACAAACACAAGTTAGTTTCCTTTTGCACCATTATCTCAAATAACCTCTTCCCTGTAGGATTTTTAGCCACTTTGGCCCTCTCCCCAAATGGTATCCTGCATTTAACCTTTTTCTCTACCTTTGCAGCAGGTGCAGCCACTTTCCTGTTCTCATCCAAGAATTTCATCACCATTTTCTCTGTTTCATCTGACAACCTTCCCTTCTCCTTCAATATCCTTACCATATCAGTCAACTTCACCATGGAGTGCAATGCAATTCCATTCTCTGCCAAATTTTCCCTACCTCCTTGTTCCCTGTTTGTTCAGATCCAAGAACAAAAAATTGGTCAATGAAAGAGAATGTGGAAAGACCAGAAGTCACAATGAACACTTCCCAATTTTAATTAAACTAATTTGCTAGATTTAGATGATGGCGCATTTCTGCTAAAGGCACTAATGAAGAGCACAATATAAAGGCACATAACCCTATACAGTTATACACAGAAACGCATACCATAACTAATCAGTATTCGGATGCTATTTGTCTATCTGACCTGTCAATCATGACGACGGCGTCCGTGACATTGAGCCCGGCGGCGCGAAGAGGGGCAGCAGTCTCGAGAACGGAGGCGCCGCTGGTGACAAGGTCCTCGATGATGAGGCATACCTGGCCGGGGCTGAAGGCGCCCTCAATGGCCTTGGCGGTGCCGTAGTCCTTGACCTCCTTGCGGCGCATGAGCATAGGAACATTGTTCGAGGTTGAGATGCAGGTGGCAATGGGGAGGGCAGTGTAGGGAACGCCGCAGACAAGGTCGTATGTGGAAGCAGAAGGAGGGACTATGGCGGTGAGGGTCTGGGAAATCTGACGGAGGAGGGATGGGTAGGAGACAATGAGGCGGAGGTCGATGTAGATGGGGGATAGGATGCCGGATTTGAGCTTGAACTCTCCGAACTTGACGGCGGAGATATCGTGAAGCTGGAGGATTAGGGACTCCATAGTTTGTGCTGAAACGGGTGATGAAGACGATGACATCCCTTTTATGCGTTGGCCAATTACAGTTTATGCAGGAGCTTCATCTACCGCCGGAGTGGAGAGTGGAAGAGAAGTGACGAATTTGCAGAAGCGGAATCTACGTACAAATAAGGGGGTGTTTGGAACGCTGATTCTGCTTCTTTTTTGAAGAGAAGCAGAATCAGTTTTCAGAAGCTGGTCCCCCAGCTTCTAAAAAAACTGATTCTACGAGTAAATTAGAGCACCAGAATCACTTCTGCACTTTCACTCAAACACTCCAGCTTCTGCTTCTGCTCCCTGGAGGAGCAGAAGCAGTTTTAAAAATCAGATCCAAACACCCCCTAATTACCTAACAAAATAAAATTATGTGATTGTTTATAAAAAATTGGAAAAATTGATCGTAATAATCTCAACTATTATCGTTCCGTTTATAATAATCTCAACTATCGATTATCTCATAATAATTCCAACTTTAGTGACCTTCCGCCAATAATGGTATGACATGACCGGTTATAAATAAATTCCTTTAGTTTCTAAAGTGGATGAAAATAGATATAACAAGTAATCCCTATAAATAATTCAACTTTTAATTTTTACGCTTTATTTCTATTTAAAATTCACTTGTTATAGCAGGTCATATCTGGTCAAGGACCATTATTGACGGAAGGTCACTAAAGTTGGGATTATTCTGAGATAATCGATAGTTGGGATTATTATAAGCGGACCGCCAATAGTTGGGATTATTACAATCAATTTTTCCTAAAAAAATACGAGTAAAGTGGAAGAATTTGACTTTGTATCCTACTTTTTGTATAATATTGGATTTTTCACCCAATTTTTAAAAATTTCATTTTGCACTTATCACATACACCTTCCGTCCCAATTTGATTTGCAAAATTTCCTTTTTTGGTTGTCCTAAAATGGTTTTCCACTTTCTAATATAGGTATGTAAATAAGAATAAAGTGACAAATTTACCCTTACTTTTACTTTTTCACCATTAACTTAAAGGCATCTACTTTTAGAAAGATGGACAAAAGTGTAAAAAACAATCATACTTTATTATCATTTCCTAATCTTTGTGTCGGTCAAAGTTTGCAATTCAATATTTTGTGAAGACAAAATTATGAATGAAGTACAAAATCAAAGGATGTGAATGCGGTGCTAAGTCAACTTTTTTTGAAATGATGTGCACATTTCAATATCATCAAATTAAAAGAATGACCTGCAAATAAAATTTCTCCAAATAAAAATGGTTTAATAGAGATTAAGCTGATGAAATAAAAATAATACTCGTATAATTAAATATTTTTTATTTTAGGTAAAAAATAACAGATAATTTTGAACAACAATATATAAACAACCTCAGCGTAATTCTTTTCCCCTAATAGTTTACCTACTTTCCATTTTTATTTTTAATGCATTTAATGTGAGAGCATCTCCTTATAATATACTCCGTACAAGGAGCATTAAAATGTACACATTACCTTATTGTGATTTATAAAAATGTTAAACACTAGCTTATTTGAACGTTAAAATTATTTTTCAATTGACTTTAGATGAATGATTAAATATGATTTTGAGTAAGAAAAAAGTAAATGAATCATAACTACACAAAACTTTTCATAAATTATTTTTCAATTGACTTTAGATGAATGATTAAATATGATTTTGAGTAAGAAAAAAGTAAATGAATGATAACTACACAAAACTTTTCATAAAATGAAATGAGAACAATTTTTTGGGTGACATAAAAGGGAAACCGGGAACTATTTTGCGGGACGGATGGAGTATGTAATATTTTTTTAATAAAGGTTTGATGTTGTAATTAGATATATATATATATATATATATATATATATATATATATATATATATATATATGTGTGTGTGTGTGTGTGTGTGTGTGTGTGTTCGCCCCCCTTAACTTTAGTTTTAAAACAATATACAGTATAACTTTTTCTGGCAAAAATTAATATATAACCTTACATATACTACCTCCGTTCCGAAATAATCGTCCTGGTTTGACCTTCACACAGATTAAGAAAGTGAAGTTGACTTCACACTGTAGCGACACTGTTTGGCACTGTAGCGACACTGTTTGGTCATATATACTATTGTAATATTTATATAACTCCTCGTGAGTCGTGACATACAACCACTATCGGTAGACATAGAGTATAATTAAAATAATTTAAATTAAAGTAGGGAAAAAATAATTTAAAGAAAAAATGGAAAGTAATAATCCAACCTTTTAGCGGTCTTCTTACAATAGTCCCACATTTTCATTATTTATGAATAATCCAACCTTTGCACCTCATCTTCATTCACTGGTTCCTCACCAATTTATGACATGTTATTCCAAGTTATTTTCTTATCTTTGTAAAACATTATACCATAATTCCCACCATATGATCACATAATATTTTACAAAGATAAGAAAATAACTTGGAATAACAGGTCATAAATCGGTCAGAGACCAGTGAATGAAGATGGGGTGCAAAGGTTGGATAATTCATGAATACTGAAAATGTGGGACTATTGTAAGAAAACCGCTAAAAGGTTGGATTATTAATTTCCATTTTCCCTAATTTAAATACCCCAAACTTTGAAAGGATGTGAGGTAAGCACCTCAAACTTACATGCGTATAATATACCCAAACTTTACATAAAAAGTTATGTTAGCACCATTACTATGTATTTTTTATTAAAAAATGTAAACTCATGGTGTTAAGCACATAGTTTAAAATACTTAAACATTTATAGAGGTATAATTAAAGCATCACAAATTTCCATTGTGAAAGAAAAAAACATATGTTCATGGTACTAATATTACTTTTTATATAAAGTTCGGGGTATAAATATTACATATGAAAAATTGGGGTGCTTACATCACACTTCTTTAAAGTTTTGGGTATTTAAATTATTTTTCCCTTAAAAATATTGATGAATGTGTACATTTTAGACTCTTTATATTCAAATAGTTTGAAAAAATTGTATCCTTTTTTATTTTCAAATAATTTTCCTTTTAGTTTCTTATTTTTTATGCTTTAATGTACCAACATTTTTAGAGCCTTCAATTATAAATTGAACTAAGCTTTCCGATTCATTAAACTTAGAGTATACCAGGTTTAAATATCGTATGCACTAGTGGAATTTTTTGCAATAAAAAAATAGCAGAATCCTACACTAGCGGAAAAAGTTTCACCCACATGCTACACTAGTGGGAAAAAATTTCTCCCCCATGACCTTAAATTTTGGATCCGTCCCTGCGAGGGATCATGTTTTATTTGTATATTACATAGGGTTTCGCACGTTAATTATTTTGCACTTCTTTCTTTGAACTCATTTAACATGTTTAATGTGTGACACCCTTTTGTGATATACAAATTCAAACGCATTAACGTTACGTAGTTCAAAAGATACATCACCAGTTCATTTGGTAATATTCAAATTTATTGAATCGATTGATTCTGTTGGAATTTATGAAGTTAAGAATGAAGTAACTGGGTTGACTAGTTCTGCTGATTATGAAAAAAGTATATTTAAAACATATTTTATTAATAAAATGAAGAAAAATATACTAGTATATGAAAAAACTAATTAAAACGATTCTCTACGGTAACTTCAGTCAATCAATCCAGAAAAGTAACTCCAACCTTTCTTATTTTTATTAAAAGTTAAATGCTTGATGAAAACGTCGACGGATAAAAATGATAAGTCTAAATACGACATAGTCACTAAAGTGACTAAACGAGCTCTGATATGAGTGTATGTTTGGTATAAATAAGCCTTTGCCTTTTAATTTTTGTATGATTACAAGTTTATACAATTTTGACAAAGATTTTGACAAGATTAGATGAATTGTAATATGAAACGGTGTTACCACTTATTACAAATCATGAGCCTAATTTAAACAGAATATTTGGCTGATTTGACTAGTATTAGCCTTTTGATCAGATAAAACAGCTAATTGACGTGTTTGCTAAGACAACTTTTTCATTTGACTTTTCGTCTTAAACAGCCAAAGATCAAAATGCCAAAAACATCAGCGTTTAGGACTGGCCGCTCATATTTTTCCCTGTTTTTCCTCGTCTAGCCACTGCCCACATAAATCGCAACCTTTCTCTTTGCACCATATTTTCCATTACTATTTTTATTCTTCTTTTTTATACCTGCTATAAAGCACTACGTACACACTGAGTACTCTTTTAATTCTTCTCTATTGAACTTTCTATTTCCTACGGAGTATTTTGTATTATTTGGCTATGGATATATTATATGCAGTAGAGAGCAATTGCATGGATGGTCCGTTTGGTAACTTTGGTTTACTTTTTCAAAAATTCTATGACTTTCTTCCATTTTAGATTTGAAGGATACAACACGCCATGATATGGTGCAACTTTGATTATAAATTGTTGTAAAGAATTATCAATCGTAGTATTTTTTTAATTAATAAAAATGGTTTTCGTCAATAAAGATTTAAGAAATGGTTAGACTAATTTTACTGTTAAAATTGATTTTAAAATGTATGATACGTGTATACATTTGGTTAGTAAACAAAAAAATAATCGATGTCCTTAAAAGTCATTTAACAAGTTATCAGCCAATTGTAAACAGTCATTTAACCGAACATCATTTTACAAACAGCTAATACTATCGGGTAATCAAAACAGTTAATAGAATCTGCTATCATCAATCAACTAATACAATCGGCCAACCGCCAATTGCCAAATACCTCCTATGTGAAAGTATTGATGGACTTGGGCCGGGTCGGGGCCGGGTCGGGCCGCCGGGTAGTATGACATGGGCCCGGGACCGGCCCGAGGGTTGGACGGGTCCGGTCCGGGCCGGGCCACCCGCCCGGGTCACGGGTCGGGTCCGGTTCGGGCCGGGCCGGTTAAATTTTTTTTTTATAATTTATATTTTATAGTTTATAGTTTTATACGAGTATTAAAAACAAACTTCAATTGCATTTATTTGAAATGAAATAGGAACTACATTTGAAAATTAAAACAAACTTTAACAGATAAACATTTTGAAAATTGTAATCAATCGAAACTTCCCGCACCTCCCGATCCTTTGGCTTTGTCACATGACTTCATATGCTTGATTGCCATTCCGAATCCGCCAGAAACCCCCATGCTACATTTTTTCTCGCACCATTTGCAAATTGCGTACCACATCCCGATCT